ATGTTGTACACCTGTGTCTTGTTAGTCCTCGTTAGTGTCCTATTTAGTTCTCGTTGTGTGTGCTTGTCGTTGTGTGTGATTGCGCTTCTGTTTCGTGTTTGGAGCTACTTTTTCCCTCCAGTGTTTTGGAGAGGTTATGTTGCACATGTTTGTGCGCCGTTTGTTTTGTCGCCTGTGTGCGCCGTGTATTCGCCTTCGGGCTTATTGTGCTTCCGTCTTTGATATATATTGCACTAAAGCCTTTGGACTGAGCCTCTGCGTCCTGCGCATGATTCATACACCACACCCACCTTCAGCACGCCTTGACAGGTAGTATGCATAGTAATAATGGACTGTATTTACACAACATGGCCAAAAGTATGTGGACAACCCTTCAAATTAGTGGATTCGGCAATATCAGCCATACCTGTTGCTGACATAATGAAATTGAGCACACAGCAATTCAATCTCCATAGACAAACATTGGCAGTAGAATGGCCTGTACTGAAGAGCTCAGTGACTTTCAGCGTGGCATCGTCATAGGATGCCATCTTTCCAACAAGTCAGTTCGTCCTGCTAGAGCTAAATTTCTGCCCTGCTAGAGCTGCCCCGGTCAAATGTAAGTGCTGTTATTGTGAAGTGGAAACGTCTAGGAGCAATAACGGCTCAGCAATGAAGTGGTAGGCCACATAAGCTCACAGAACGGGACCTGCGTGTGCTGAATCGTGTAGCGCGTAAAAATCGTCTGTCCTCGGTTGCAATACTCACTACCAAGTTCCAAACTGCCTCTGGAAACAACGTCAGCACAAGAACTGTTCGTTGGGGGCTTCATGAAATGGGTTTCCATGGCAGAGCAGCCGCACACAAGCCTAAGATCACCATGTGCAATGCCAAGCGTCGGCTGGAGTGGTGTAAAGCTCGCCATCATTGGCCTCTGGAGCATTGGAAACGCGTTCTCTGGAGTGATGAATCACGCTTCACCATCTGGCAGTCCGACGGACGCCAGGAGAACGCTACCTGCCCCAATGCATAGTGCCAACTGTAAGGTTTGGTGGAGGATAAATAATAGTCTGGGGTTGTTTTTCATGGTTCAGTCTAGGCCCCTTAGTTCCAGTGAAGGGAAATCTTAAAGCTACCGCATACAAATACATTCTAGACGGTTCTGTGCTTCCAACTTTGTGGCAACACTTTGGGGAAGGCCCTTCCCTGTTTCAGCATGACAATGCCTTCGTTCACAAAGCGAGGTCCATACAGAAATGGTTTGTTGAGATCGGTGTGGAAGAACTTGACTGGCCTGCACAGAGCCCTGACCTCAACTCCATCGAACACCTTTGGGATGAATTGGAACGACGACTGCGAACCAGGCCTAATCGCTCAAGATCAGTGCCCGACCTCACTAATGCTCGTGGCTGAATGGAAGAAAGTCCCCTCAGCAATGTTCCAACATCTATTGGAAAGCCTTCCCAGAAGAGTGGAGGCTGTTATAGCAGCAAACGGGGGACCAACTCCATATGAATACCCATGATTTTGGAATGAGATGTTCGACGCGCAGGTGTCCGCATACTTTTGGTCATGTAGTGAATTAACTGGGTAGTGGAATCAATAGTATAATAGAACAGCAGCATTGACTGTGTGTGTGTGTGTAAGTTTGTGTGTAAGGGTTGGATGTGTGGGTAGTCAGTGCAAATAATTTCTAAGGTGCAGATAGTCTCTCCGGTGCAAATAGTCTGTGCAGGTCTGTTCAGAGAGACAGCTAGGTTTAGCTTTTCAGCAGCCTGATGGCCTGGTGGTAGAAGCTGTCTCTGAGCCTTTTGATCCGCGACCCGATACTCCGATACTGCTTGCCAGATGGTAACAGAGTGAACAGTCCGTGTCTTCTGGTTGAAGACAGTGCAGTTGCCGTACCAGGCAGTGATGCAGTCGGTCAAAATGCTCTCGATTGTGCAGTTGTATAACTGTTTTAGGATCCGAGGGCCCATGCCAAATTTCTTCAGGCGCCTGAGATTGAAGGCGCTGCTGTGCCTTCTTCACCACGCTGGTGGTGTGATTGGACCATGTCAGGTTCTCTGTGATGTGCACGCCGAGGAACTTGAAGCTTTGACCCTCTCCACTGCAACCCTGTCGATGACAATAAGGGCGTGCTCCTCCCCCTGTTTCCTGTAGTCCACAATCAGCACCTTGGTTTTGCTGACCTAGAGGGAGAGGCTGTTTCCCCGGTACTACTGTACCAGGGCTCTAACATCCTCGCTGTAGGCTCTCTTGTCGCTGTCGAGGATCAGGCCCACCACCGTTGTGTCGTCGACAAACTTAATGATGGTGTTGGAGTCATGCGTGGCCATGCAGTCGTGGGTGTACATGAGAGGACTGAGCACACACCCCTGGTGGGCCACCGTGTTGAGGGTCAGCGTGGCGGAGGTGTTGTTGCCTACCTTCACCACCTGCCATCTCAACAGACTCGACAGACCAGACTGTGGCTTGGGAAGTCAATGGGAGAAGTGAAAAATGTATCCTAAATTGTACATTTTCTCAAAATCTAAAGGCACAATCTAGATTTGAGCCAATGTCTTAAAGGAATATTCCACCCCAAAACTATCTTTTGGTATTTGTTTCATTAGGGTGGAGTTTTCCTTTAAGTAGCTGAACATATTATTATTACAACCAGGTGAAAAAGTGACAAACCGACACATTTGAATTTCCATCAAAAACAACTTCATATCGAAGGAGTGCCTTTGATTTGACGGCCTGCACATGCGCAGTTCGGTGCAACACAACCATTAGACCCGATGACATCTTTCTGTGCATGAGCTTAGCTAGCATGTTGCCATGACATCGCCTACAAGCATGTTCAGGGATTTCCATACCAAACGTTTAACCCCTTTTTCGTGATATCCAATTGGTAGTTACAGTCTTGTCCCATCGCTGCAACTCCCGTACGTCCTCCAAAACACGACCCTGCCAAGCCGCACTGCTTCTTGACACACTGCTTGCTGAACCCGGAAGCCAGCCGCACCAATGTGTCGGAGGAAACACAGTACAACTGGCGACCGAAGTCAGTGTCCATGCGCCCGGCCCACCACAAGGAGTCGCTAGAGCACGATGGGACAAGGATATCCCCTAACCCAGACGACGCTGGGCCAATTGTGCGCCTCATGGGTCTCCCGGTCGCGGCCGGCTGCGACACAGCCTGGGATCGAACCCTGGTCTGTAGTGCTGCCTGAAGCACTGCGATGCAGTGCCTTAGACCGCTGCGCCACTCGGGATGCCATGTTCAGGGATTTCCATTGGAAAAACAGTTTCTGGACCTCTTCATCTATTGGCTCTTTGACCACCACCGTGGTCAGCTCTAAATGACCTGTGTTGTTGTGTGGCTGCAGGTGGGGGGCCTGTTGACTCTTTGGAATTCCCCTTTCTCCTTAAAGCTGGAATCTGTAATGGTGAAACTTCCACGTCCATTTGTGATATTACAAAAACAAAGAAGTTACCGCAAACAACGAACACTGTTTTTTTCTCTCTGACAATCATTGCACACACGATAGAACAGTAGCATATGTACAACATCTTTTTTTACCTTGATGCGCCCCAGCTCTCCTTCATCAACAAAACAAAAACAATAAAAAGGCCTTGGTGCGGACAGTGCCTACTGCAGATTCCATGTTTAAAGGGAAATTTCAAAAATGTTCTACTTCTTATTCATCATATCCAGCACCACCCCATCAACATATGTGAAAATTGCACACTTCTATGTTTTGTAGTAAAAAAGATAGAGGAAGATACGTGTTTCCAATGACATCGGTGTGCATTGTGTGATTTTAACCAATTATGAGTAGGCATTGCCTACTAATTGTCTACTAATTGGTTGATGACGTCATTGGAAACACATCTTCCTCTATCTTTTTTATTGCAAAACATAGAAACGCGGCATTTTCAAATATGTTGACGTTGGGGTGGTGCAGGAGATGACGAAAATGTCCTTTAAGATTTGTAAAATTATTTGCAATCACTAAAATACTTGATAACATTACTGCAAGCTGTAAGGAAATGTGCAAGAAAACGCAAAGGTAGATAATGACAACAACATCCTTAGGCCTACTTGCAGCAACAACAAATACATAAATTGCTCATCATCCTCATCATCTATCAATCAATCATACAGTCAATAATAGCATTTTGTCTAACAAAGGCATAAGAAACACCGCCTATTTTATCATAGCTGTACGTAAAAAGATAATTCCTACGCCCTTTAAAAGGGCATTAATTCCTCATTTGTTTACCTCTTTCCCCATAATGATCACACTAACAATGGTGTACTCACTAATCGCCAATAGTAATAATTTCAAGGAGGGAAGGATGCATTGTGCAAACACGTATTCGAACAGGGCCATTTAATGTGAAATAGATGGCCAAGTAAGACTCAGCCCAGAGTTTAACATTGCGTTGCTTTTCAAACGACTTGATTAAAACATAACATTCAACGTTTATACTCTAAATTTTGAGTTTCTATTAAACGTATTGTAGTTACATGATCTATCATACATCCTCTAGAAAGTTATTGCTGGTGTAGGCTACAATTTGAAGGTACAGATACCGGTTGGCCCTAACCGCAAACAGGAAGAAGAAACGTCCGTTTAGAGTCGAGGAAAGGTACGAAATGGAAAGCATGCAACAATTATTTAAATTTACCTTGAAATTATAGTTTTACATTATTTTGTGACTAAGTGTTAGGTACAGACTAAATTCTTTACTCGCTAGGTAATTAAAGTGAACAAGCAAAGGGACAGGGTTTAGTCCGAGGCAAGGGGAGGGAGTGATTATCTTTCACCAAAACAATATTGAGCACACTCACTGCCAGATGCACACAGCCAGCCAGGTGTTTAACATGCATGCCTAGCTATGTAACTAGCCAAGCTAACTCACTTAAATACTAGTTATCTTGTTTACATGGTTTGAAAACATCTCTGGACATCAGTATTTTTCATAACTCATGACTTTGGATGTCAGAATTTGACGAGGGTAACAAAAAAATGTCGGCAAACGTGAGTCCTCCAAACACTGCTTTAGTAGCGGAATTATCATTCTCGTTTCAGGATGAATTGACTTCTACTATTCAAAATGCATTAGGAGTAGCTGTGGAGATAGCGGTGGTTGAGATTACAAAACTAGTCGGCCAAGTGTTGAGGGACGTGCGGGATCAAATGCACGAGACGCTGCTGGACAATAAGTCCCTTAAGTTTCGCTTGCAAGCAGCCGAACTTCAATTATGTGCAGCGCGAGGAGAGGAACATCAAGTACAATCAATAATAGGGGAAAAAGCCAGCACCAATAGTAGAATCCAACAGGTTCATCAGCAGCTGAATTCTCTAAACGTCTCACAAAATACAATCAAATCAGGATGCGAAGGAGAGCACAGAGTTCATGAATCCAATCAGTCTCTTAGTTCAACAAATGTTGAGGATAGGTATGGAGAATTTGAATCAGAAGTTGTTGATAACCCTGCATTTCTTAACGAATCGTTTTGTGAGATCCGTGAGGATGGTCGGGTCTGCACTCAAGATATTAAACCAGATTTATTGACTTTAAATCATGAAGATGAAGCTGGTAAGTTGGGACTGTCACTCACTGCTGTTCATTCACATTTAACATGTTTTGTAACTTATTGTTTCAGCAAAGCTATGATGCATGTTCTCCATATCAATATTTATTCGCAGGGACTAAAGAAGAGGTTCTCTCAAACATGTACTCAGACAACCATGAAGATTTTAACCGAGCATGCACAGAGCCAACCACAGGAAATGATACATCAAGAACCCATGCTGACGGCCAGCCCTTCCCTGAAGGTACCATGAAGGATGCAGATGTGAAGTGTCTGGTTGAGGTGAAGGTGGAGTCTGCAGACCTGGGATGCAGTAGGAACTCTGGTCCCCATACTGGAGGAGGAGAAGAGTATTACTGTCCAGACGATCTCTCCTTTGCTCAAACCAGGCTGCTGGAGGATTGGAGGCCAGAGGCACTGCAGCTCCCACTCAGTGATCCAGACTCATTCACCCCCTCCACCAGCCACTCTCTATGTAAGTCCTGCAATAAGGACCGCTTTCCTGCACACAAATTAAGCCTAGTCCTGGACTAAAAAAGCAATTTCAATAGAGAATGTTTAGTCCCGGATTAGCCTTAAGCTGTGTCTGGGAAACCAGCCCAAGGAGTTCTGTAGTAAATTGGTTTTGATCTCATGTCAGTGATGATGATAGTATTTCAAGTGTTAATACATTTTCTCTTCTTTGACTTTGTAGCAGACTCCCCCACCTTCACCCCAAACATACCAGACTTTGACATCCTATCGTCATCTTCAGCTACAGGTCTCCATGCAGGTTTTGGTAAGCAGCAGCAGTACCCACCCAGAGAGAATGCTGGGGCTTCCACCTCTCACTCACACCAGATGTACAGCCCTCAGACAGGTGAAGTGAAGAATGTGGCTGCAGCACAGCATATCTGCAAGATCTGTGGAGAGAAGTTCCATTTGTCTGAGGAGCTGCGGCGACATCGTAGTCTTATACACCCAAAGGATATGAACAAGCTCCCCAAGCGCAACCTCTACCCCCCTGGGCGGAGCCCATACCACTGCTCCCTGTGTGGTCGAGACTTCAACCGCATGGAGCACCTGAAGATCCATCAGCGTATTCATACTGGAGAGAGGCCTTATGCCTGCACCGTGTGCAATGCACGCTTCCGTCACTCTTGGGCTCTCACGAGACACTTCCGTATTCACACAGGAGAGAAGCCCTACACCTGCAGCCAGTGTGGGAAGACTTTCCGAAACTGTGGGGGGCTGCGCTTTCACCAACGCACTCACTCAATGGGAGGGGTCGGCTGATAAGGCCTTCATGATAGACTGTAATGGATGGAAAGACCGGGAGCAAGAAAAGCACTGGGGATATGTACAGAGAGAGGGAAACATTTAGTAAGCTGTTATGTATTACAGCTTACTGTAAATGTTAAAATACATTTATCCTGTCTTTTACTGGAAGGAACATAAATAATTGGGGTAAAGGGGGCAGAACTTTGAGTGGAGCACAGTTGTTAGTGCGGTTCATTCAAGGTGAGGTGAGATGGATCATTGATGATGTAGACAGATGTAGGGCTTGAAATATCCTGTTAAATGACAATCTATTCCCAGACACATGAAATCAACTGGCGTTGTACTATGGCCTCGCTTATTTTACTGTAATGAAGGAGTTCCAAGGAGCTTGAAATGTTTATGTATTAAAACTTCACAAAACAGATTTTGTATCCTTTGTCTAAAACAGATTTTGTATCCTTTGTCTTTATTATCTCATGCTAGATGTATTCTGTCATAAATCAGATTTCAATACAGAAATATGATTTTTGAACATTTCTTAATGTACACCATTGGCTAAGCTATGTAATAACATGGTCAAGAGGAGCATTACTGCCACCTACTGTACTGATCTGGGAGTTCCTCAATGATTCAGCTTTAGTTGATCTAAATGCCTCAGCATGTATATGGCAAAGGTCTTAATCTATTAAGGTCAGGAGAATTAAAGGATCCAGCTATACCACCACCAGTGAAGGCTCCTCAGAGGAGGAAGGGGATTTTTACAGTAAAAATTGTAAAACATTAAAAAAGTTATTTCTTTTTGATAAAACTACTAAATATATTCATATGTCACCAAATAATTGATAAAAACACACTTTTTTGCAATGAAGGTCTACAGTTGTCTCAACAGCACTCTTTAGGGTAGCACCATGGTATAGCCGGAGAACAGCTAGTTTCAGTCCTCCTCTGGGTACATTGACTTCAATTCAAAACCTAGAAGGCTCATAGTTCTCACCCGCTTCCATAGACTTACACAGTAATTATGACAACGTCCGGAGGACGTCCTCCAGCATGTTGTCCACCCAATCAAAGGATGAGAGAATGAATCTAGTAGTGAAAGTATAAGCTACAGCTAGCTAGCACTGCAGTGCATAAAATGTGTTGAGTAGTTGACTCAAAGAGAGAGAAAGACAATAGTTGTTTCAGTTTCACTTATTTAGCTAGCAAATGCAGCTAGCTAGTTTAGCCTACTCAAACACCCTGCTCAAACAGAGGGATGCTATGTTAGCTAGCTGGCTGTGACTATCCAACACAACACTGGAACTCTTCCAAGTCAAGGTAAGCTTTTGGTTTATTCCCCCCGAGGCTCGCCGGTGTAAGTGCTAAGCTTAATGACTGTACACTAACGTTACTGAATGATTGGAGCAGGTTTACTAAAGTGTTAAAGTGTTAGTTCTATTAGCTATGTTGACTATGATGTTACTTTAGTTAATATGGTGACAACTATGTAGTCTGTGTGTAGCGGTTATGATATGGTTTGGCTTGGAAAGGTTTTTTCACGTTGTCACATACAGCTGATGTGTTGTGCATTGAAGTCCACAAATGAAGGGAAAAGGTGAGTGGAGGAGAGCGCATTTATGTGAGAAGGAATACAACGTGGCTGCTATGAAAGTGAACTGTGTTTACGTGTGATCAGGGGTGTATTCATTCGGTCGTTTCTGTTGACAATAGTTTCTTAAACGGAAGCAAACAGAACGAAACTGGGGATAAACATACCTGAATTTGTCCAATAGAAACTCCCGTTTGCAACTGTTGGACTAATGATTACACCCTAGATCAGCTAGATGCAGACAAGAGTGTGCAAGGCGGTATTGAATATGTCACTGTCTGTCGCCTCAAATTTGTCTCTCGACCTGTGTGCACCTACGTTGTAAACTTTCATTCATAGGCTAGGTTGTAGCAACCTCATGATGGGTATAGGAAACATTTGAGTATCATGTAGTCATCGAATATGCAGTAATAGAAATAAGGCCATGCTAATGAGAAAAAAAGTATCGTCTTCCCTCATCTTAAATGGCACCGACTGCCACTGACCACCACCAATATCATCTAGTTGTATTTGGGTCAGAAGGTTTATTATAAGTATTCTTATTCTTAAAATGCAATAATTCAAGTGTTACATGGTGAATACCTGCCTGCTTTGGGTTTAGAGTAGGACAGAGACCAGTACAGCTCCTTATCCTTCCTGCACTCCTCCCTGGGCTGTAAGCAGATGTAACAGAAGGCAGCTGAAACAGCTCAAGTATTTACATCCAGATGTGTGCATTATCAGACTGTAGCACTTGGGGCAGGCACGGAACTCTGGGCAGCCCCGAGCACGGCTCTTGGAGTCTGTCACCAGACCACAGATGAGGAGGGTGGACACCAGCTGGCAGGACCTGTTGCTGCAGTACCCAGATGTAGCTTCAGTAGTAGAGTGCCAGGCCCAGGGGGATAGGCAGGACCAGCAGACCCGTGGAGAGAGGGCACTGGGGACACTGGGCGATCTGACTGGGGACTCCATCTCTGCCCAGGAGGCGAATCAGAGTGGAGGAACAGGAAAGGCACTGGAATACAGGGAGGGAGGGTTAGAAAGGTTTTACAAACAAAGTAATTTTTGGCCCTGCCCGACCCTCTTTTTGAACTTTCATGATATGAATAGGGAAATTACCAAAAATCTGATTAGCCTATTGCTTACCCTCTTGTTTAGATCAGGATGCTCCACAACGCAATGTCTCTGAACCACCTGAAGCAATGTGTTCAATGATTACCTGAAGTGCTTTGATGTTGTCACTAGCTAGGTTTCCATCCAATTTGCCACAGATTTTCATGCGAATATTCAACAACTGCATAAAACAATATGCGCATTTTCCAACAGGGATTGGTTCCATGAAACGGACTTTTTGCAGTTAAAAGACTGTGCGTGATGACGTGGTGACATAAAAAATAACTTTTTCCGTTAAATTACCAATTACCAAATGAAAAATCCAAGTTAAATGGATTTCGATCAACTCTACTGATGGTTTTGTCACAACAACTGTTGTGTTATATAGCAAATGTGCCCACTCTTGTCTTGGCACATGTGCGTTAACCAACAGGGTAGGCTACCTACATTATGAGATTGTTATGGATAAGAGCGATATTATTTGGATTTGTCAAAGGCAGCCAAGCATCGATCATCATGTCACCAGAATAAGACCCTCGACATGTATTGGAGAGGAGCACCAAGCTCATCACCTTGCACATTCATCACCCTGTGAAATTCATCATAATTTATTTAATCTGTAGTTTAATAAACTGCATGCTTTCCCGAGTCTAAGTGGGAAGACCACACAACATATCATCGCGTGACTCCAAGTTTACTTCGATATGATGGTTACTAGGCTATATCAATATTTGCGCATAAAGGAGTTTCCACCGCCATTTCTCGCATAATTAATTTTACCGACACAAAAAAGATCCTCCATGTTGAACGAACAAATTGGCTGTCGGCATTTATACAATTGTACCGGCATTTATATTTCCATCAGCCCAGTCGTGATTTTTTTCATGCGTTACGTAGGCATAATTCATCCGCATTAAATGGTTGGATGGAAACGTGGTTTATGACGGCCCTGCTACACTACAGCAGAGATTGACGAGATGTCCTATAGGTTTGTCTCTGCCCTATAGGTAGTCGATGTCCCAAAGGCGGGAAGGCAGGCGGTCTGCTTATCGTGGACAGATTTTGACGGGAGAAACCCCACTCTCGCTTCGCCTCTTCCTCTCTGACTACAGCCATCGGTCGTCCCGCATTGCCATCAGCTATAGCTATGCCATTAGGGAATGCTTCCTTTGAAATCAATGAAAGTTGCTACTGCTCTTGGTGCGTCCAATGGCAGCATCCAAGCGCAGAAATCGCCGAGGTTCAATTCTCGATGGCTGACGCGCGCGTACATTCTATCTTGTCTTGTGAATTTAAATAATAAAGATAAATAAAGTTGATTTTGGTTAGGTTTTGTATAGCAGGTAGAAAGTCACATTGATGGCGATGCGTGTAGTGTAGCTGAAGTGGGAGAGTTGGATAAAGGAGCAGTGGCGATTTTAGCATGTAAATCTTGGTGGGGCAAACAAAATAAAATTGTGGGATACATGCCAGCAAAGCCACAACACTAAACAATACATGAAACGCCCTATAACGGTGACAAACCGTGCCCACAAACTGTTATGGCTTACATAAAGCTGTCCCAACAGCAGAGTCCCAACAGCAGTCCCAACATCTTACCACTGCTACACCTGGCTATCAGCAGAGCCTTGTCTAACAGCAAAACAGTTCATTCAGCCTAATTTACTGCCTTTTAGAAAAACATAGCTGATATGGCTGACTTGCTTAAACAAATGTGGTTTCTACTGACAATTGAGATGTACAAACTATGGCATAAGGGGAAGACAAAAGGAGAAGAGGCAATCCGTAATTTTGATTAAGACATTAATGAGCGAGCTAGGACGGACAGAGTCAATATAACTATTTGTTTAGCACTTTTGAAACATACAGCGACATAATTCAGAACATGGGCCTTTCTTACAGTGTTCTCCCTGTACACCAAGTCAGAACCGTAGGATAAATAAAGGGGGAATATAAGCAGACAATGAAAGCTCTTACAATATTTGATGATTACATTTCTCTAAAACAGGTTATAGGCTATACATGTGCACCACCAAGTCAGAACAGTAGGCAAAATTAAGAGGGGAAAATATACCAAATTATTAGGGTGAGGCACATGAGCTACTAACAGCTTACTACACAACATACACTTAGTATTACTTTCTTAGCTACAGTATACATATCTCCCTGGCATATTACATCATTTATGCAGCAGCATACAATACATTTCTGGAATCACCTTGTTGTGCTGTGCTGACTTGAACAGGAAGGTGGCGCGGCGGTCCTTCGTGGGCAAATTTTGTCATCAAAGTCTGTCATTCTCTGGATTTATGGTGCAATCATGATCTTCAGG